CGGCGACAGGCCCTCGAGCCCCTGTGCAGTCCCCGAAGGCACCCAGAGAGCAGCCAGAGCTGGCTGTGTCCCAAGTGGGCTGTGCCTGAAGCTTCCCTTCTGAGTGTGACAGCCCTGCCCTCGCCCCATTGAGACCTGCCAGGCGGCCTGGGTGCGGGGGGGAGGGGCCTGATGAGCGATGCGCCATGGGGCTCCCGTCCTCAGTTCCTTCCTTCCTTCAAACGGCCGGTGGCTGTGGCTGACTTGTTTCTTTTATGATCTCTTTAGGGTTTTCTATCTATGAGATGATGTCATCTGCAAACAGATAGTTTTCCTTCTTCCTTTCCAATTCAGATGCCTAATCGTTCTGGCGGATGTTGGCCTTTGACGCAGGTGGAGAGAAGCGTTTCTGATGGATCTTAAGGGAGGGAAGGAGAGAGAGACCCACTAGTAGGACCAGCATGGGGGATGTGATTGATTTGCACAGTGGGACGAGGCTGCGATCCGTCACCCTTTGGTGTCACCCCGTGTTCTGAAGCTTCAGGAAGCGTAAGTGGCAAATACGGAGTCCGTTCCTGAAAGACTTGAAACTTAGTAAAAGCTTCTCGTCACTTTCTGAGTAAGCAGTACGTGAGGTAAAGGTCACGCATTCTGAAAACAAAACAAAACAAAACAAAACAACTGCTGAGTGGCCAGCCAGCCAGAGCTGACTTCCTGAAGAGAATGCGCTGGGCAAAGAGCAAGTTTCGTCCCTGCCGTTCGGGTGGTGAACAGTAGGGGCGGGACACTGTGCCCCCACAGGTCTGTGTGGGTTTTGTTTTTCACGATTTCTCTTTTATCATGGTGAAATATACATGAGATTTTCCCGTCTTAACCACTTTTAAACGCACAATTAAGTGACATTAAACACATCTGTGTACAACCATCACCACCATCATCTCCAGAATGTTTCATCTTCCCAAACTGACACTGTCCCCATTAAACACTCACATCCCCATCCCCCCGGCCCCCACCATCCTACTTTGCGCCTCTGTGAACTGACTCTTCTAGATTCTCACAGATGCGGACTCATATAGGATTTGTCTTTCTGTGACCGGCTCATTTCACTCAGCACGATGTCCTCAAGGTGCATCCGTGCTGTAGCAGGTGTCAGAACATCTCCCCTTTTCCAGGCTGCGTAATATTCCACTGCACGGATGGACCAGAGTTTGTGTGTCCACCTTGTGACGAGGGACGCTTGGGTTTCTTCCATCTTTTTAGATGCTGTGAACACGAGGTGCAGGTAGGTCTCTCTGAGATCCTGCTTTCGGTTCTTTTGGATCTGGAGTGGGATGAGCAACGGCTTTGCCATGCCAGGTCCCAGCGGCACTCTCACGACACACTCCCGGGGAGACCAGCACCGTCCTGCCGCGGTGGAAACACTCCCTCCCGCTCAGACGACAGATTCACGCTCTAGAAGGCTCTAGAAGCACCGGGCGGCTGGACTCCCGGCTCCGGCCATACCCAGGCCAGGCCCTCCGCCCACGTCCCTTTCTTCTCTGCGGGCGGCCTCCTCTCTCACGCCCCAAGCAGCTGCACAGATGTCTGTGCCGGGCGTCTCCAGGCGTTAGCTACTGGGTGGTTCAGCCAGCCGCACCGGGGGCGCGTGGAGACCCGGCAAGGCGCGCAAAGTGCTCGCAGGAGCACGCGCGGGCCGTGCGCATGACCCGAGAGCAGATGCTCGCCCGGGGCTCATTCTCGCTCCTCCTCCTCGGCCTGTGCTGTGGTAGCCGTATCCGTTAGATGGCTCTGGACCAGACACCTCGTGATATGGGATGAATTTGTCCCCGCCCCCAAATTCGTAAGATGAGGTCCTAGCCCCCAGCACCCCGGACGGTGGTCTTATGTGGAAACAGGATCTAATTATCAGATGAAATTAGTGGAGATGAGGTCGAGGAGGACTAGAGGGGTCCTCGATCCGATGTGACCGGTGTCCTTACAGAAAGGGAAGATACGGCATAGACAGAGAGGAT